AAAATCGTAAGTGAAACATACAATTTCTTATATCGTAGTATAGTTAATCAAAAATATCGTATGTGCTATTAACGCCATTATACTTGGGCACAAATGAATTATTTTTCCATGTATATTACATATACCATGTTTTACATTGTACACAATAATGAACATGATTATTGTTTCTTTATAAAAAAAAATATTTATGGAAGGACAATGAATACTATTTCAATCCAAAAATTATGAATTTATTACTGGGAAGTTAAAATCAAAGGTTTTATTTAATGATTTCTTATGTTTACGCGAACGCTACACATAAATTGAAACTAATTTTAGTTAAATAGTTTAAATCAAAAGCCATAAAATCGGTAAAATTTGTTTCATTTAAAGGTGTTATCATTTATTATTATTATAGGCTGCAATTTAAAATAGCTGATATTTAATTATGTTTCAATAACTTATAATAATTTGAAAGTTATAAAATAACAACTGCAATAATTAAAATAGTTTTTTTCTTGACATAATTAACTAGTAGAAGACAAACAAATATTAAGCAAAAAATTAAAAAGGAAACTATGTACTTAAAATGATAAATTTCTTGTTTCTAAAATAATTATTAACATGCAACAAATCAAATCCAAAAAAAATTATAATAAATCTATCTTACTTAGTACTTTGTTCAAAAGATCAATAATTTTTAATAGGCTGTATCATTGTCATACAATTTTCAAGTTTATTACATTTATTTATTTATTTATTTATTTAGGTACACAAAACAGAATAACATCAAAACATAAACAATTGAACATAATAAATGCAAAATAACGATCTGGATGGTATTCCAAAACATGTGCACACAACATGATATTAGGTTACAGTAACGAGTTTACAGCGCAAATACTTATAATCTTACTTATAAACTTAAGTTGTGGAAAATTTAGAAAAATTAATTCTTTATTAAAAATATTGCCTTATTTACAAAGTATATCTAATACAGATTTTTTGAAATTGTTTACTTTGCCATTAAATATGTCGATATTTTTATTATTATTAATCAATAAGTCATTGTAGAGGCGACACATTCTTACTAGAGGATTATAATAGGACGTATTATTTCTGTAAACTTGCAAAACAAAAGTGTTTAGGAAAGTATAGCGACGATGGGGCTTAGTATTAATCTTGACAAATGAAAGGAGGGTGGGGGAATCAATAAGGAAATGAATAATTTTGAAAAGGTAAGTCATATCCTGATATTTACACCGGGTTTGTAGTGACATAATGTTAAACTTCTTAAGTTTGTCTTCATACGAGGGCAGACTTCTATTTAAACCATACCTATAGCACAAGATTGATAGAAATTTTTTTTGAACACGTTCGATACGATCTATGTGGACAGCGTAGTATGGAAACCAAATAATTATGTTGTACTCTAAAATACTGCGTACTAGAGAACAGTACAAAATGAGAAAGCTTCGCGGATTTTTAAAAGTCTTGGCAGTTCTGAATATAAAACCAAGAAGTTTTGTACTTTTACATACCACATGATCGTAATGATCGCGGAACGTAAGCTTTTCATCAAACAGTATTCCAAGATCCTTAACTACGGATTTTCTATCAAGTACCTGTCCATTTATTTTGTAATCAAAAGTAAGCCTGTGTTTCTTATTGCTAAATGATATGACAAAGCATTTTCTTGTATTTAGATGCATGTAGTTTTCCTTACACCAATTATGAATGGAGTCTATATTCGACTGAAGATTGGACGAATCGCTGGGTGTATCGATAACAGAAAAGAGCTTCAAATCATCTGCATACAACAGACATGGGCATGTTAATTTATCAATAAGATCGTTGATAAATGTTATAAAAAATAAAGGACCTAAATGGGACCCTTGTGGCACACCCGATGTCACATTAAGCAGTTATGTACTTGAGTACATGTGTAAAATCAACTGTTGACTATTAAGTTAAAAATACCTTAATTCTGAATAACCAGGGATAACAAATAAAAAATAACAGAAATTAAAATAACTATTGTAATAAGTTATTCGTAATCAGATTCGGGATCAATGTGACAAAATTCATGGGATTCTACAAAAATTATTACATAGAAATCGTAATGAATCGCTGAAATGATACCATTGTTACAAAGGATTATCTAATAATTTCTTTAAGCTTTTAAATTAGGCAGTGCATGGCTATAACGTAGAGGGACATTAGTGTTATTTTTTTATAGCAGAGTAGGCAAACGAGCATGCGGCTTACCTGATGGTAAGTGACTACCGCCGCCCATGAACAACTATCATACGATTATATGTTGTATAGCTGCAACATGGCTCGACCACGTAAAAAAACGTTAAGAAACGTTTATAAACGTTATATCGTATTAAATCGTAAAGGAAGACGCCTTACACAACGCTACATTAGGGATTTCCCCTTGAAAGCAATTTAGGCCATATAACGAAACAAGAAACACGTTTTTGCGTAGCCATTTGATTGGATGACGTCACGCGTAACGCAAACGAATGAATGTGTGTAGTGTACTGTAAACAGAAGTTTGTCGTTACAAATATCATTTTTATATTTATAAACATTTTAAATTTTTATGATTGATCTTTATATCTTATGAAAGCTTTATCATCGACTATGGTGGTTTGCAACAAAATATTATAATCGTTATTATTTATATTAACGTGTCACCCTCCGTTAATTGTTCTAGGTTTATTAGAGTTTTAGGCCTTTATTACTGAACTGGTTGGAACGTAACTAATATTAATACGAATGAGATATTAAAGGTGAATTCAAGAACAAAGAATAGAAACAGAACAACACGTAACAGTAGCAATAATACTACTTTACAGTTGTTATAATAAATGATTCATAATACTGTTATTATGATAACTAATCATCTTGTGTTATCAAACATCAAAATATAAAATTTTTCAAAAAACTAAAAATCCGGGCTTTAAGCATCGACTTCTGAGACTATTATGTTTCAATTAGTTTTTAGTTCGTGAAGGCGGTTCTTACTTTATATGAAAAAAATTACTAATTAAGCCTATGGAGGGGTCCAAGGAAAGGTTTTCCACCGATTTTGTTCCACCGGTTCTGCACCGACCATAGAGATCGATTGAATTCTTTAAATTTATATGGGTATCTATATCCTTAGCGTATTATTTATTATATACAGGGTTATTTTGCAATAACCGCCCAAATTTGCAGAGAAGGTTCAGAATAAGTAATATAGGCAGATGGTGAAGAAAAATTAATTAAAAACGTTCTCTTTCTTATCTTTTAAATTCAAAATGCGTGGTAATGGATTATTTTAACTGATTTTACGGCGCACGCACACATTCGTAAGGGTCGATCGGAAGGAAAAAACGTTGTTGCCCATAAATCACATTAAATGGATAATTTCAAATAAAAGCCTTATTTACTCGTATTTTCAAAAACTTCATTAATGTTATAATCATTATGTATATATTTGAACTGAAGTTTAAAATTTGGCTACTCTTTGAAAATTAACCCTATATATATACCTAGTCAGGTCATAAGTATTGTCACACAGTAAAAACTTTTCCTTTAGAATGCTGGCCACAAAAAAGTTTATTGAATTCGAATTTCGAATTGTTCATGAAAATAAAACTGTATACTTTTTAGAATTTTACTCATTTTTAAATATGGAGTGGACGCTTAAAGAAGACCGTGTTGCAGTTATTGCGTTGCATCGTTGCGGTTACGCGCCAATTCAAATTTTTGACATACTGAAAAATTTGAATATAACCAAAAGATTCGTTTATCGTACCATGAAACGATACAATGAAGACTCTAGTGTAGATGACAGGTCAAGAAGTGGTCGCCCTCGGTCTGTTAGGACTCCAGCAGTGATAAAAGCTGTGAAGGCGCGAATTCAAAGAAATCCCAAACGTTTGGGAATCGATTGGGAATCAAAATGCAAATGCGTTTTCAACCGTGAGGACTAAGATGGAATGCCTCTTTTCCAGTAAATAGGGTCTCTGGTTCTCTACACTCACCATACGAAACATTAAGCTGCTATTTTACGCGGGTATTCTTTGAAAGCGTGGTCCTTCCTCGGTCGAGTCGACTCATTCGTGCTGCAACTATAATATAAATATAGCTGCAGTACGTATGAAATAAGTTTGGAGGAAAAAATGTAGTGAAAACAATGTAAAAGTAAAAAAGGGTGTAAAATTAGGGGATAAAGCTGTAAACGTCACCACATTCGAGCTTAGGTATGATTTCTTAGTCCAAACGAAATGGTCAAAAAATTAGACTGAATAAAAAATCGATTGTATTGAAAATATTTTATTCTTTTTTTTATTGTATCAAAATCTACAGCTTGTACATTTAACAATATATAAACGAGAGAACATTTTATGTTATATAGAAGCCTTTATAGATTAACATTACAACAAATAGTTTACAGCGTATAGCATAAGATAACATTTTGGGATCTTCAAAATGGCCGTTTTGTAGGCGTCCACAGCTTCTTCAGGTGATGAAAATCTCTGTCCACGCAATTTATAATTTGACTAAGGCGCCGCTTGAGACTTGGCGACTGGAGCGGTCGCTCCGTTCGCCCTATGGTAGGGCCGGCCCTGAGTTATACTATCTTTATATATAAAAATTAAGTGTCACGTTGTTTGTCCGCGATGAACTCCTAAACTACTGAACTGATTTCTATGAAATTTTTCACACTGTTGTGCAGCTTCATCCAACTTTTTTATCCTGATAAGTGCCACTCAATATTTTTTTATTACGAATTTAAGGATTTTTTTTATAAGAAGGGTCGTCGAAAAGGGCAGAACAACGTCTGCCTGGCCAGCTAATATATATATGTATATTAAATTTATGTTAATGTTTTTCACTTCTTTTATTATGTTCTTTCATTCGTTGAACATGATAAATATTAGAATTTCCAACCATTTTTAGCAATTATATTAGCGTTGTTATACTACCTAACTATTAACCATACATTATTCCATTGTTATTCGCAGGGTGAAAAGCGAATGCGAGGCCATTGCGAATAACGACAGCTTATTATCAAACGTCAGCGCAACAGTGGTAACAAAGCGGCACTTACGGCAGGTAGGTAATAATTTTCTGTAATACCTATGAATGTAAATACGTACATCCATATTAATTCACTACTTATGTACCTGGTGTACCACCTGATGACAGATATATTGAACAATACGTGAACTGTTCATTTAGTTATAAAATAAATAATATTTATCTTTAATAAATAGCATGTAAATACGTCACGAAATTTTGAAACTTTTTAAAAACTACAAAGTAAAGTAACAGCCGATACGCGTCCCATCTCTAATTTTTGAAATAAAAACATTGTTAATAGTCAGCATTTCATAGGTGACTTATTTAGAATATTCCAATAAGTTTTCATAAAAAATGTCATTATTAATTTCTCTCTTTGTAAGATCATTTTATAATTTCCATAAGGAAGCTAGACATATTTTCATAATATTGATACACCAATAATTTATTTTTTATATATTTATATAATTTATTTTGTTAACTTAAAAGGGCGATTTTTTTAATATAACGAGAGAAAAACGAGCACACAGTCCACCTGATGGTAAGTGGTTTCTATGACCCATAGACGTCTACATCTATAAGTCCCTATAATATCCGCGATTGATTAGTCCGCTGCGTTGAGTCAATGCATGTTGACGGGCTTTACATGTCTACCTACCTAAATGCTTGTTTTCTTCCACCACTGAACACCTGGTAAATCAGTACTTAAAATAGTAGTTAACAATTTCAAAGGCGCAGGTGGGATACGTAATCTGGTTTCTCGCGGCGATTATATACCCCCGAGCTACCATGGCTTAACTAAATATCGTAAAGTTCGATATCAACTGCAAAAATGATAAACGACGCTATTTGATAATGTGATCAACAAGATGATACTTTATCCGATTGAGATATTATTTACATAAGTACATTATACTTACAGGCTTTATCCAGATATGTCAGTCAGGGCATACAAGATTAAATTTAAGTAGGTACTTGAAATATTTTCAATTTCACCTTCAACAGCGTAATATAAAAAAATCTAATACCAAGGTCTTTCCCATGCAAAGAGTGATATGATAAGCGTTGTGCAATATTATTATTTTAGGGGGGGGGGGGGGGCCGAAGTTGTGGTATGCGATATTAGTTTCATAAGGATATTATTTACCAAATTATTTATCTTAAGTGAGTGATGAATATTAGGTCATAAATTTGGTTACCCAAACACCAACGTAAAGTTGAAAAAGGGTTTTTTCTAGGTAAAGGTAAGATTTAGTTGGTAAAAAAATAGTTGAAAAAATTTAGATCGTAGTTTGGGGTAACTATTAATAGTTTTTTTTTCAACACAGACGCGTTTCACCAAGAGGGGTAGGCAAAGACTCCGGACTTCCATTTGGCACCATCCTGACACACCTCTCTCGTCTCCTTTACATACATACCTACTCACACATACTCGTTGGCTCGTTGGTTAATCTGGCCCATCTTGTATATATATCGCTAATTTCGTCAATAAACTTTTGTCTAGGGCGTCCCTCTCCGACTATTCCGTTCACTTCTGCAATAAATTTGCTTTTCTTAATCTTGGTCACAACATTATCTTGCAAACCATACTTTTCTCTTATCACACAATTTCTCACCCTGTCATTCAGATTCAGCGCTAACATAATACTTACTGACCGCATTTCTACAGCATTTAATCTACTCTTGTGCTTTTTCTGCCATACCCAACTTTCACTACCATATATTAAGGTACAGGGACTAACACAGCATTGTGAATTGCCATACGTGCTTTTTGTCACATTCTGGCTTCCCATAATAGAGTGAAGAGCCCCATTTACTCTATTTCCTGCGTTTGCTCGTCTTTCTATATCCTTATCATAATAATCCTATCCCTGCTAAAAACACATCTCAATACCCAAAATCATCCATTTGCTCAACTAACTCCCCTTCTATTCTTATTTCACATAACGTTTTACCTTATTCTCTTTCAAAAAATCGTCTCACTTGCGGTCACTTTCGTTCCCCTTTCTTTTAGTGACCTGTTCATTAATGTAACCATCATTTGCAATTCGTTCGCCGACGGTGCAGATATTACTTGATCACCGGCGTACAAAAGGATTTTGACGGTTAACCCACAGTCTTCACCTTTCAAAGTTTCCACCCCACTGTCCATAAATAGGTTGAACAGCCACTGGCAAAATACACAGCCCTGTCTGACACCTCTATTGATGCTAAATCAGTCTGAGTAGGCCCCGTTGATCCTGATACAAGCACTAGAGTACATAAAGAGACTTTAATGCCTGTTTCAACCCAAATGAGTTCAGTGTTTGCCATAACACATTCCTATCCACTCTGTCATAAGCCTTTTCCAAGTCCATGAACGAACAAAACACTTTCTGGTTATTGGCCATAAACTTCACGCGATCATGTGCATAGAAAAGATTTGATCCGTACACCCCATTCCCTTTCTAAATTCAGCTAGCACATTCCAAATTTTCCATCAGTTTCTTTCATAACTCTTTCAATTAGCACCTTAGCATACAATTTTCTCACAATGCCAAGAAGGCTGATACCAGTAGTTTTTACAGTCCTGCTGTGACCCTTTTCCCTTATATATTTGGGACTATCTCGGCTTTGCACCAGTATTTCGGTACCCGCTCAGTTCCCAACATAAATTAAATAAGGTGAAAAGCAGGCCACCACGGCCTCTCCAGCCCCTAGCATTTCGAGTGATACTCTATCATATCCGGCTGCCTTACCTGCTTTCATGCTTTTCCATTGCTTTCACTATTTCATCTATACTTATCTCCCTACCTCTTTCCTCTTCTTTCCGAATTTCTGTTTAATTTAATTTAAACATCTCTTCATTCATAAACACGCTTTCAAAGTATTCCTTTCAATTTTTTAAACTCGAAACTTCGTGATTCAGAATACAGCCATTCTCGTCTCGTATAGCATTAATTCTCGGCTTTTTTTGAATTTCCCCTTGCAGTTCTTGTGAGTTTCCAGAAAATTTTAATATTCGCTTGGAAGTTATCAGATCATTTTTATCCGTTCTTTCTTGCTTTTTCCTTCTTTTATTCTCTTATTTAGATGTCTAAATTCTGCCTTTTTTTCAATGTCATCATTCATATCACCAGATTTTGGTTGCCAGTAAATCTAGCCATGCTCTCTTCTTTGCTTCAACTTCCATCCGTATCTCAACATCCCACCATAACGTATTAATTTTCCTTTCATTCATTCATTCTCTTACTTATACTACATTCTTCAGTTGCTGCATCTACCAAATCTTTCTTAATATTATGCCACACAGTCTCCAAGTTTAAATCATTCATACAAAATTCATCCAAACCACTTATATTTTCTCTCAGTCTACATTTATACTCCTCTTTCACACCTTCATCTTGTAACTTTTCTATTTTTATACGCTGTTACGCAGTCGTAGACACAGATGTCCGATGCCGTCGACGTCTGAATAGACCATTAATTCGGCATAAGACAAAGTAATGATCCGTCCCTACGTTAGACCTCGGTAAACCCTTGTATCTACTGTAGTGTTGCCCAAAATCGGTCTTGGTCTTGCAGTCTTGGTCTAGTTCTTGCATTTTTGCAAGACCAAGACCAAGAACAAGACCGCCTCTTTTTAGCAAGACCAAGACCAAGACTGACCGTGCAAGATTTGCGCAAGAACAAGACTTAGCTTGCGAGACTCTTGCGTCTTGCAGTTAGGACTAAGTGTCGTTTCAGGGAGTATAGGAGTTCGGGTATACGCTTAGGGACTCTATGAGACGCAAAAAATATAATGAAAAAAGATTGGAAAATTGGACTTATGAGCATTACGAACAATACCATAAATATACATAGCGAATGGAAATATCCATTAAAAGAAAAAAGAATGTATCCCTAGTTTTGACCATCGGCACTTTGATAGTGCGCGGCGTCTTGTTGTCGGCGTCATCAAAGGTCGGATACTGAACTGTCAAAGAAATTGTGCAGCTATTATTGATATTGCATACAATCGTCGCCGCTGCGCCACACGCTTAGGGTTGCCAGATGGTCGGGATTCGTCTGGATTCTCCCGACATTTTAAATGATCTCCAGACTCCCGACAAAACTCAAAATCTCCAAAGAAACAGCTTCTCGGAAAGTTCTATACAAAATAATTATTTAAAATTGCCACGCGAGTTCACGTTCTTCTACGTCATGTCCCGACAAGATGGCTATATCTTTTACTAGATCATTTAATGTATTAGTCTCCTGTAAATCAGTATTTTATGTTGAAAAGAGAAGACGAATGTCGAAAAGAGATATTAATATGGGAGTTTGTAACAAAAAGTATAAGCCATATTGATAATAATAGTGAACGGGTTGACGAATGCAAACAGGAAGGGGATTTCAGAAGCGTATTTATAATTTGTAACGTAATGTTAGAGTTCCAAGTAGCAATTTTAGCATTGGAAAGTGCTGCATGCACTGTCCTAGAACTTGAAAGAACTAATGAATCATCTCAAAAACAGGTTGGATGACAAATTTTTAGGTAGTAGAAAAATAACCTTATTAAGGAATGTTTCCGTTAATGAGAAAACCCTTGTAGCTGTAATGTTTTTAAAACGAGCTATTCAATACTTGCAAGAACGCTATTTTTCTGAGAACTCTATATAGAAACTCGCTGTATTGTCTTTAAAAGGTACAAATTTATTTACGTGGGAAGAGTTATCCGTATTGCCTGACGTACCACTTAATTATTTTCAAATGATATTGACTTTATATACCGATTACTTTTGTTTATTTCAAATGATATTGACTTTATATACCGATTACTTTTGTTTTCAAGAAACACTTGAATATCTTCCAAAAAACAAGGACATGGTTACGGGGGACTATGGGTGCTGTAAAGTACCCGAAACGTCGGGAATCAATAAAAAACAAGATAATTAAACGCGATAAAATCCGTAAAAGTAGTTTTATTTAATGTGTATATGTCAACTGGTTTCAATTGGTTATATGTCAACAATGTTACGCCTTTTTGTAGCCTATTAATTTAAAAAATATTTTTTTTATTTTACGTTTTTATTTTTCATATTTACTTCTCCCGACAACAACCCGAAAATCCCGACATTTTCAAATTTTGTCCAGATATTTTGGCCTTCCGATCTGGCAACCCTACACACGCACTACATTTGACACTGTTTGATTGCCGCCACAGAGTACATGTTTCAAAGAATAAAATAAGTTTCCGGGTGCTCAGAATGGACACGAATACATTATCCTGATCTCGCAAGAAATATTGTAATTAGATAATAGATAGGTATCATAATAATTTATTCTAGTAAGTAATTATTATAACATTAACTATATGGATTTATAATAATTACTTACTATTATTGTTATTATTATTACCTAAAAGATAAACATGTTCAGTAAGTTCACTGCAAATCTCGACTTTTGCAAGTGTGTGTTTTTAAAACACAAAGTGCTCGAATATGTCGTCACACATTTGATAAATATGGTTGACACCATAGCACTTTTAAAACACTTGAAATGTGTAAAAATGGATCTGGATCTTGTCTTCAAGGCTTAGTTATTAAGAAGTTGAAGGGGTACCTAGGCAAACCCAGAGCCGTCATCTCGGAAGACATTGGAGGACGCATGAGACAAAATATCCGATTTTATCGAAGATGGCCCGTGATTTTCTTTTAATACCTGCAACTTCAGTACCTGCTGAGAGATTATTTTCTAGCATAATTAGTAATCAGAAAACATAGAAATAGGTTAAGTGATGAGTCAGCCAGATGGTTACTTTGTATTAATACTTTGTCAAAAGAATAAATATAAAGTACCTAACAGTAATGTCAAAGCTGTTGTGTACATACTGTGAAGTAATTTAATTTGCATCGTATTTTATTTTTTATTTAAATAAATTGTATATTGTATAACTCTTTTATTCCATTTCATATATGGTGAGGGTCCATCAATCTCTTTCTAGAGAGATAGTGTTATTTAAAATACAGTGTAGTTATTACCATTAATTTGTATGTTTAACCATGTTTTAGCACATGTAAGCTTATTAAATGTAAACGTTTATTAAGAAACTGACGCCCATGGCCGTGGGACACGGTAGATAGCTCAGTTGGTTAGAGCATCGGCACGGACCGCTTAGGTAGTGGGTGGGCAAACCCCACCCGGTGTCGGTTGATTTTTCGAATTTCTCATTAAATGTTTAGTCTTTACTATGGCTTTGTTAATTCAAGCTCAATATGTACCTACTCTGTTAAGTTGTTCTAAGATCTAAAGTAGTTTAATAAATAGTAATAGGCTAATAGGTCATTGCGAGACTTGCGAGACTCTTGCTGCAAGACCAAGACCAAGACCAAGACTTGGAGTACAATACCAAGACCAAGACCAAGACCAGGTGTATTGGCGCAAGACCAAGACCAAGACTTGCTAAGTCTCGTCTTGTTCTTGCATTTGGGCAACACTAATCTACTGCGCTCTACATTCTATCATTCACAATTATGAAATCTATCATGCTTCTATCGTCACCTCTTTCCCATGTATACATGTGAATCTTTCTATGAAGAAAGAAAGTGTTCGTCACACAAAGATTCTTTTTCACACATACGGTGAGGAGGCTTTCACCATTCTCGTTTATACTTTCATCAACAAACTTATAGAGAGGGCTATGTTTGAAATTTCTCTGTGTCATAGAAGTTCCCAATATGCTTTCATAACCAGGCGTCTTCACCCCAAAACTTCCATTAAAACCTCGCAACAGAACAATATTTTCATCTTCCTTACATTTCATCAACACCATCCTTACCATCTCCCAAAATTACTTTCGGATATAAGTGGGCTTAGACATGTTTTGGGAGTAGACCCCTAGAACAAACAACTTCTTTAAGCCTACTTTAATTCGCATCCATAGCAGCCTCGAGCTTACACATTCATACTCTTCACCGCACATTCACCCATTCTTTGTGAAATGATGATACCAACCTTTTGGCATGCCCATTCGGTTTCGTCTACACTAGACTAGTAAGAAGTATATATATGCCATGTGCTGCAGAATCCTTTCCCTTCTGTTTTGCCTCATTTACACGTAACACATCTGTACCTCTATCAAACGTCTTTTCGAATATTTCATCCATATTATCATGCATTGCTCCACATACATTCAGTAATCCACTTTTCGCCCTTCCGGTAGAGAGAACGTAATGGGTGGCGAACCTCGGCGCTGATTTTACTCCAGGAGATTTTTGGCAACCCCGCCATTTCTTTTATTTCTTGCATTATGATGCGAACTAGGGTTGATAGATTTTATGCCGGTACCACACGACGAGGAGCCGAGTCTGTTCTTTCGGCTATGTCTTTCGGTTAGTATCCCCGGGGGAGGACATGTGTAGGGTAGGAGACAAGTTCCTTTATGCCTCCACATTATGGTGAATTTTAAGCTCGAAGAGCGAGTTATAGAGATGGCTATCTTTGAAATTTCTCTGTGTCATTGAATTTCTCATGAAGATAGATGCAGGTAGCCCAGGATCGTGTTTTGTGGTATTTCTTGGGAATCTATGTTCAGCAGTAGTGAATTTGACGATGACAATAATGATTGTCATTATTGGATACGTGTTGTTGTTGCAGTTACAGATAGAATGAAACCGAAAAATTTATTTTAATAGATATAGTTACAGGAATTTGAGAGCTAAATGCAGCTTTTGTTTATTATTAACATAACCATTCTAGCTCTAATCTGTAGCATATGTACACTTTTTACACTTTATTTAAGTTTAAACAATTACTGCTTTTAATTTTAGCCTGAAGGAGTAGTTACGTTCACATGGACGGCTCAACAGCAAGCGTACGTTCTTTCGGGATACTTCTGGGGATACGCTATAACTTGCTTAATTGGAGGTACGGCTGCGGAACTGTGGGGACCTAGGAAGGTCGTGTTCATTACGATGCTGATTAGCGCCGTTCTCACTATTCTTTCACCACTAGCAGCGAGGCTGCACTATTTGGTGTTAGTAGCCGCCCGTTTCATCACTGGACTAGCTTCAGTAAGTATTAGATTTTTTTAAATTAATTTAATTAATTAGAACTAAAACATCAACAGCTTATTTTCACTGACTTTAAACACTAGAAGGGTCAACGCCGTCAAAATGATTTTGATCTGTAATAACTTTTTATCTATTTTTCAGTTCGTATTCAAATATTTAATGACTTCCTAACTTATGATTGTATAAGTTTTAACTTAATAAAAATAAGTGAGTTATGTTTGTTAACTGAGAAATGCTTACTTATTTCTAATAAGACTGGTTGCCGTCAATTTGACGCCACATCTATTAGTGTGAAGTATTGAAAACAAAAGATTTCTTTGTACCTTCTGACCGTAACTTTTATTTATATTTTGTACTAGCTGATCCTCGCGACTTCGCTCGCGTGTTAGGGTTTTTTCCTTTTGCGCGTAACCCTAATTCTTTTTCTAAAATAAAAGTAGCCTAAGTTAAACCTTATGAAATCAGCTACCTGCCAGTGAAAGTCCCGTCAAAATCGGTCCAGCCATTTCGGAGATTGGCCGGAACAAACAGACAGACAGACAGAAGAAGATATCTCAGGTGATGTAAGTGACAACGAATTATCAGTGGAGCTTTGCGAAAACGCGGATGGTGACTTTCAGCCAGAACAAGAAAGTTCCACATTGGAGGATTCTGAAACCGATACTCCAAGTCAAAGTCCTTTTGAGATTGATATGCAGGACAGGAATTTACACGAGAACGTGGCAAACGAAGAACTCGTGGCACCAAATCTGGACCTGGCAGAAGAGCACAGTACTCTGGAAGTGTAACCCGTGGTGGGAGGCTAGTTAGAACGTCATCATTGCCAGAAGTAGATATGAGTCAAGTAGCTAGTGATGATACTGAATTGACGTGTATTTCTAGTCGTGGTGGAACGGGCCGTCGAAGTCAGCAAAACGTACTGAGAGAAGTTTGAGATGTTACTCCATATGCTAAGCGGTATGTAGAAAACAAAATTTTTCTGGGGACTTATTATTATTATTAGAATATATATTACGACGCTTGTAGTTATGCACCGAAACTGAAGCACGTATCAAATGTCAAAACAATTCGTGGGAAATTTCTTTAGATGAGTTAGATGCCTTCATTGCCTTGATCTATGCACGTGGAGCTCACAACATGAGCCATTTAGATTTAAACATTTTATAGTCCCTGGAATGGGATCCCCAGTTTTGAAAAACACAATGAGTAAAAATAGATTCAAAGAAATAATGAAATATTTGCGATTTGATGTGGGAAGCACGCGTATTACGCCTTTATCTACAGACAAATTTGTAATGGTTTCTGATATATGGAATAAATACATATAAAACTGTCAAATGTGTTACATTCCTGGTGAAAATATGACTGTTAACGAACAGTTATTTCCATCGAAAACACGTTATCCTTTTTCTGCAATACATTGCAAATAAACTGATAAATTTGGAATCAAGTTTTGGTTATTAGTGGACGTTGAGAGCAAATATCTGTGCAGTGGTTGTCCTTATTTAGGACAGATGTTGAGCGCCTAAGTGATATTTCATTACCAGAACATGTAGTTATGAAATTGTTACAACCTTATCTCAAAAAAGGTCGAAACGTTACAACGGATAATTTTTTTACGTCTCTAAAATTAGCAGAAAAGCTAACATCTAAAAAAACAAGTATTATTCAAACAATGAGACGAGCCAGATGAGAAGTACCACCAATTTGTAGAAACATTCGTACACAAAGATATGAAACCTTTATGTTCAAATCGGCAACACACGCAACCGTAACAGTTTATCAAGGTAAACCTGAAAAAATTTCATTATCTTGAGTACACTACATCAAAATATTCATATTGATACGGATTCAAAAAAAAACTTCCTGAGACTGTACAGTTTTATAACGAAACCAAGGTGAGCGTGGATATAGTTAACCAAATGGCACGAAAGTACACCGTAAGAGCTGGAACTCGAAGACGGCCAGTCCATGTCTTCTACAATATTCTAGATTTAGCCGCTATAAGTTCATGGATTGTTTATAGGAAAGTAACATCTGAAAACATTCCTCTCCATAATTATAATATTCTCCAACTCTAAAGTGAACTTCGAGTTGAGTACATAAATAAAAAAAACAATGTTCAACCGCCATTGAACGTGCAGATAATATAGACATTACCGAAGAACAGCCTTCCACATCAAAAAAAAAGACGTCAATATCAAATCAACTCGAAATTTAAAAAAATCGCACCTGCGATAATTGCACTGTTTGCCAACAAATTTATTTGTGGTCAATCAAAAAAAAGTGTATAAAAAATTGTTTGTCATAAATGTTCGATGTAATCAAAGTATTTAAGTATGTATAACATAGGGGAATATCAAAGTATACTCTCTGAACCACTATCAGATGCTGCCTAAATGGTTTATCATTTATTAAGTATTTTATAAATAATTCAATAAATTGTTTTGCGCTATTTAGTTATAAGGTACAATGGGAATGACATGTTAATAATAACGAAAGTCCCTTAAATAAAAAACATAAATTCATAATTTTGTTTCAATCACAAACATCCAATATACCGTCAATTTGTAGGTCGCGGTCTTTGAAGGTATGGCATGTTCCCCGACCCTTCTAGTATTAAGGCGTGATGAAGAACAACATAAAGCTCACACTAACGCGGATTACATATAAGTACTTGATAATAAAAAAAATGTTTTCATCAATATCACGTTTTAATAAAAACCACAACAAAGAAACCAGTCTTTCTATAAACTTGAAAACTGGTTATAACTTATAATATTATCGTAATATGATAGTTTAGTAGCCGTGGTATCCCAGGGGCTATGCGTGCGCTGTAAATTTCACAGTACAGCGAGCGTTAATCATCTGAGCTACCACGGTTCTACCAAGCTACCTTAACTGTTGGATTTATAGATGATAAATTTACATAGGTTGTACTATAATATAACTATATTTCAAAATGTAACAAAGATATGATTTTTATCAAATATTGATTCGATGTTAGCTTTAATATCAGGAAATAGATGGTTTTAAATAAATTCATGCTTTCAAAGCTATTCAGATAATATCTTAACCTAATTTCACATTGTTTGTTTCCAGGGCTTCCTGTTTCCTTCACTACACGCTCTTGTAGCCCACTGGGCTCCTCCAGCAGAAAAAGGCAAATTTGTTAGTGCTCTATTGGGCGGTGCCATTGGAACTGTTGTTACGTGGTCACTAACTGGACCTGTGATTGAAAACTTTGGTTGGGATTACGCTTTCTATATACCTGGTAAATACAGTTTTTCTTTTAAGTACTTATCGTCATCTTCCAGGTGAAATAAAAATCAAATCATTTTATAAATTATTTCTTAAATATTTATTAAAAAAAATACCAACAATTTAAGCAATAATTCAACTGACATGCATAACTTGAGAGAGAGAGAGAGAGAGAGAGTGTGAGGCATCAATTGGATCGGCTCTGTGGCTACGAACCTATAAGATATGGGCAAATATGTCAAGTTTAAATGCTTTTAAAATAATTCATAGAAACGACTATACTTTGTGGAAATTCATTGAATTGAAAACTAGGTACCACAGCACAACAAAGTTATATTGTAATCGTGTAATATATAGTAATCAGATGAATAGCATACGGACGCATAGAAGACGAACAAAGAATCAAACAAACAAATATAAATTATTTTGTCAGAAACTATCTTGGGCGCGCACGCAGCGACTCACCAGCCCGGCTAGCATGGACGGGGGAGAATTTTATCCCCGGGCAAAGAAGAATATGTTTATCCCCTCGCTTAGTTTTATCCACCCTTAGAGCATGGGCACACCGGTGGATATAATATCCACAGTAGATAAATTGGGAGATAGACTTAGACTTAGTTTTTTTTTGTATGAATATAAACTTCAACCCACGTCCAATGAACTAGGATAAAATTGACGGGGAATATATGTCTACTCGTTATATCACACGGTGATATACTTCTCCCCGTTTGACATAACAAGATAATTTTATCTCTTGTCAGTGGATATAATCGGGGGATAAAATTTTTGTCCCCCACCCATGCTAGCGGGGCTGTTTCATAATAATCGGATGAATGGTATAGGATACGGGACAAACAAGGAAACATTCATTTTTATATACTAACCTTCGCAGAGTATTATTTACTCAAACGATGCCGCGTTTAGAGCCGCAAAACATCGTATATTATCCAGTGTGTTGTTCGTTGCCTAGTGTATTGGTTACAATGGTGTTAGGTTTAGTGGTGGCAGTGAAGGGAAGGTGCTCATCGAACTAAGAAGAACAACACGCATTTTTATTTTTCGCCGTCGCAAATACAGTTCCTATAGAAAATTCACCACTAGTGTATCGTACGGACTGATTGCCTCTACAGAAATTTGAACAAATACTTAGTGGCTCATAATTACGCTGTTTACTTAGTTCAAATCGTCTTCGATGTGGCCCTAAGTAGGAGGAGCTCTTAAGATGAGCCCAATATGTTTACTTTCCTCCCAAGGCACCAAGGTTTCTCTAAACTTTCTATAAGACTATAACCAAGGGAATATTTATATAGATAAAAGTTCTTGGTACACTTAGACTTATGACCGGATAACCTGCTAGCATTTAACTTGCATGTAAGCCTCTGAAGATTAAACTCGACCTTTGTCTATGCCGCTACCGCAAGGATGCCGATGAGGTTGACAGATCTCCGCTCCGAGTTCCTAGGTTTATACCAATGCTTTCATAGCCTATGTATGTGTTATGATGGTAAAGCACGTAATCGATGACTAGTATTTTTACTCGAAACAGCTGTAAATTGCGTCTGATCTCAAATGTCACGTATAAATTATATAACAACTAGCTGTTCCCCACGACTTCGTCCGCGTGTTATTTGGGGTTTTAATTTTTTTTTTGCGCGGAACCCTAACTCTCTTTCTAAAATAAAAGTAGCCTAAGTTACTCCTTTAAACACCAGCTATCTGCCAGTGAAAATCCCGTCAAAATCGGTCCAGCCGTTTCGGAGATTAGCCGTAACAAACAGACAGAAAAAAACTTTAAAAATTGTATTTTTGTTATTATTACCGTATATACTTTCATATGCATTTAGTAAAAGGCTGTAATTTTGACATTACAAACAGACACTTCAATTTTATTTATTTTTCTAGATAAACTCTCACGCTTGTCATTCAGAGCGGTAGGCAGACGCTACGGGCTCCATTTGTCACGATACTGACACACCTCTCTAGCTACTTTCACATCTGTATTATATCCACGCATACATGCTCCTCAATGTCACGTCTTATTGGTTAATATGGAAACTTTGAAACAAGTCTTTCTACACAATCCATTGAAACAGAATATTACTATTTTTGCCTGTGATTAAAATTTTGACTACTCACTACAGTACAAATTTTTCTATGTTAGTTAAGTTTGAATCCGTGACTAGCCTTTGACGAATCGTCATCAATAACGAATCGTCACGACAGATGTAGGTTTGTGTAAATAAGTCATTTTAGTGCTAGGCATGTGCACAGGAAACTTAGCTAAATACCACAACCCATTACTGCAAATGGACTTTCTTTGATATTAGAATTCCATAGGTGCGTACGTAACTGATTTCTAAATTGCTTATACGCGACGATATTATAAGAGATTTTAATAAAACATCTATTGGGTATTTGAATGAGGAGACATTTAATACACAAAATTTATTTATACAATTTATAAAATAAAATATATACTAGAACAATGAACCTAAAACTAAAAACCTTAAAAATATAATATAATATAATAACTAAAATGTATTATTAAAAAGGAGTCCCTTTAGGCAAGGTTCCGAAGATGCTGGCAGCGTTCCGCCTTTGAATAGCTAGACTAATTCTTTGTCCGAGGTAGCTGCCAGCTCTTCGGTCTCCTGTGATGTCGACTAACCTTTTTGCTATTTCCTTAAAAAGCCTTATAGCGCTAGGACCCCACGGACCAAGGGTCTCGACACCGAATGGGACAAAATCATATTGGGTATTTTAACATAAAAGAGTTAGTAACCAGCTAAGCGTCTACTCGTATATATTTTTTATATTTTTATAGATATAAAAACATTACTGTACTTGATCTTTTTTTATAGAAGAAGGGTGACAAACGAGCATACAGTCCACCTGATGGTAAGTGGTTGCTGTGGCTCATAGACATCTACATCTATCTTCGATTAAATATCCACGTATAAAAATCAAACGTTCTGACTTTTCTTATTCCATACATGTAAATAAAATTGAATTTTCTGTCTATAATATTGAACTAACTGGTTTCTATTAAGCTCAGGGGGTTGTTTGCATGATATTAAGACATAAATAATCATTTTAAAATTATTTGTCTGGCTGTCTGTCCCGGCTAATCTTCAGAATGGCTGAACCGATTGTGTTGAAACTTCACGAACAGATATAGAACAATGCTAGGGGGATCTAGGCTTTATTTTATCCGAAATATTTAAAGATAAAAGAAGAATTACAATTGATAATATTTTATTATCTTAAATCTAAATAACACCACATTAACAGACGGGTCGCTAGTGATTAAATAAATAAAACTTCAAAATATTTCTTTATAAGATATAACCATTTTATTTTTCAGGTATCATTTCTTTAGTTTGGTGTGCTTTTTGGTGGTTCATAGTTTATGATTCCCCGGTGAAGCATCCGCGTATTTCAGACAATGAGAAGAAATATATTTTAGATGCAATTGGCGATAAAGTAAATCAAAGCTCCAAGAATACTAAGGTTGGCATATTTTACAATAATATGTTTTATCGGATCAATTGCCGCATAATATATTCATTTTATCTTGTGATTCGAGTACTTGGAAAACTTGTGGCAATAATTTATTTACTAGCTGAGAAGGTTCTAGATATGTAACAATAAATTTACACGCGTTTACAGCAATTATGATGCATTAGAAATTAATTCCGATTCAAATGGCAGCAGCTATGATACTTAGAATTAAATAACTTGCTTCTTCAATATAATTCCAGTTGTTTTGTATAAAATGTAACCATAATTATTGAGGACTAGTTTAAAATATTTATATTAGTATTATTCTATAGGCTACACCATTTAAACTATATATCATATTACCTATCATCACTCGCATTTTATTCCGGAGGCGACTGTAAGAAATTCCAGATAGATCTTATGGCTTATGCTGGAAGGTATGGGTATTTTACCACGATGACGTCAAATGCCTATACTGAAGACAGACACAAAATAGAAAGCTCTCTATTCTGTGATGGTACTGTGATACCAAATGCGTCTGCCAAGCTAGCGATCATGGCAAACCTCTATAAGCAAGTCCCTTGGACGAGACGTACTTATATTTAGCGATAGCTTGTACAGGTATCAGTACAAAATTAAGATTTGCTCTGCTTCTACATCAACCTGTACAAGTTATTGCCCGTCCATGGACGGGTTCGTATTTAGCAATAACTTGTAATTTATACTCGTAACTATCTACTGATGCTTACACGTTTGACGAATTTCATGACATAGTAAAAATTCTAAATAAATTAAATGCATAAAAACTTATAGTATCTAAAAATCATGCTTAGTTACACTGAAAGCATTTCTAAAAATCTGGTAATGATTAGATATTAGTAATATATGCTTAGATCGCACCTGAACTGGAACAATAATCGAATAACAGATAAAAATGATTGAAGATGAGTTTTAGCTAATGGGTTTGGCGTACAAATATCTGAAGTCCTAAATTAGTATGTTTGGTGCTAAAGATAGATATGTAATAAAAATAGTGTCTTTTCCGCCAATTGACCCGCCAAATATAGTGAATATTACAAATTTTCCTGCATGGAAGATATCGTGTCCAGCAGTGAAAATTCTGCTGACTGATGCTGAAGTACCATTTTTATTTTTGGACGTATTCCACCGCATTATTGTATGTTGTAAATCGGTGTGTTGTTTACAGATGGTACCACCGTTCAAGAAGATATTAACCTCTTTTCCCTTCTTGGCGATGGTTGTACTCCACTATGGCAGCAATTGGGGCTTTTACTTTGTGATGACAGCCGCCCCTAAATTTGTATCAAGTGCGTTAGGATTTAACCTAACATCGACGGGCACACTCTCGTCGTTGCCGTATTTGGCACGGATGTTGTTTTCGTTGATCTTCGGTGCTATAGGTGACAGGTAAGTTCTCTCCTAAGTTTTATCTGACATGAAGCCCAAGCACCCCCCCCCCCCTGCTCGTACCCGGCCGCGTTGCTACGTCGGTCAGGGGAGATAGGAGGGGTTGGTTTCCTTGGAGACGGTAATTTCGGCGCCGAGTTATACTTCCTAACTTCAACCGCTGGTAGTTGGTTTTCTTCGTCGGAAGATGGAGGTGCTGACGAGTAGACACGACGCATTGCCTCTTCTCGAATAAGGATGCTTCGGTTTCGGGTGGCGTATGCCTCCTGGCCGATTTCTTCGTCCGCTGCGGTAGGGGCGTCGGTTCGCGTTCGCTCGCACACTCAGGCGCGGTGAGCGCGCTCGATGTGGGCTCCTTGGGCGGCGAAGTAGGCTTTCTTGTGGTCTTGGGAATGTGGTTAAACGAGCTCACGATCCTGGAGCGTTCCGGGTTCGCGAGGTCCCTAACCAGTAGCAAACGATCCAATACCCCCGGACGATCCGGTGATTTCCTAACGCGAGGGGGTGGGGGGCTCCCCCTTTCCTCTGCCCGTCATTACAGCTGTTACGACTGTTTTGTGATTGTAGTGCTCGTCCTATCTATGATCCCTACCTAGCAGGCTGACGAGTGACTGACGCGCGCCGCGAGGTACGGAACGGTGGAGAATAGAGGGTGGCTGCAACACTTGGGGCACTGCCTACGCCTTTCGTTACGAAAGGGTTGGGGGAAGTGCTAGAGGTGGCACTTAAAATTGCGACTGGACCCTTGAGAAGCCGAGAACGCTCTTAAGTGCCAAGAATCTATCTAAGGGCCGGTGACCTCGACACCTCACGGAGTATGCGGACTCAACGATCGGTGGAGTATGTCGTACCGGCGGCTGCTTGGGACCACTGCTAATCCTCAAACAGCACACACTTAGGAGATCCTTAACGAATTTCCAAATTACCAGTTTATTATCCTAGTCGCGAGCTATACGCGAAAGAGAACCGCACGCCGCGCGCCATTTCTACATATTTTAACATTCATTTTCATCATTGCACCCTTGTATTTTACTCCATATCTTTATTTATTTAAAACATATGGTTACACACTTTTATTTATAAGAAACACATACAAAGTCTTATCATTATGTTATACATTACATCGTTATTACATAAAAAACATATTAAGATATTCAACAAAATACACCTATTTCACAGAACATTTTCAAAGTTATAAATCTTAAATATCTAACACACATAGTCAAAACAACAATCTTTATTGTATATATAAACATGAATATCTTAACTAATACAATAGTTTAATTCACAATTTAAAGGCATTAATACAATTTAATTCGACTATAATTTTCTTATATAAATCTATTAATTACTTATTGTTTCACTATTTTAAGCACAAATTTAGGCACTTTTAACACAGCACTGTTCTTATTAATACACATAATAATTCTGCAACATTTATTACTTATTTCTACACATATTACTGAAATTTTCAGAAATTGATAAAGTTTTTTTTTATAGTACATTATTTAGACACTTTAAATCTCATACAATATGAACAACCAATACGTACATGACCCCCTACCATATCATTAGGATGCTAGTGCTTTCTTTGTCTAAATTACAACTATCTCTGTTCATTATGAAACATTATTTGTTTACATATGCTATTCTTATCTAGCCTTTATGAATCTTATCTCTTATCACAAGAGCAAAACATATTTTCATCTAAAATAAGTATCTAATTTAATACAAGACTTTCATTCGTATTGCAAAGCCGATTCCTATGTAACACGTGACTCTAAATTAATCTATAAACAAACTTGTGTGGAAATAACTCTCGACCGGGGAATCGAATAGTAAGATTTTTGCGAACATAGGTAACAGAGATTTTTTTCATGTTTGTTGTAAATTCTATAAAAAAAATTTTTGGTTGTGTTAAAAAACTAAATTTTAGAATATCTAATAACATACATGTGCAAATAAAACAGAAAATCTAAAAAAGTATTTAGTATTTTAAATATATATTTTTGTATTCTACAGGATCGTAAAACAGAATGTTGTGTCCACTACATTCATGAGAAAGTTCTTCTGTCTCTTCTCTCATGTAGTACCAGGACTACTTCTGATTGGCTTGGGATACACGGGTTGTAATCCCATCCTCTCTATAGCACTTATCACTTTCGCTATGGGTTCTAACGGGGCTGCTACCCTAACAAATCTAGTCAACCACCAGGATTTGGCTCCCAACTTCGCCGGAACATTGTACGGTATTGCAAACGGAATAGGCAATACCGCTGGATTTGTTACTCCTATGTTAACTGCGCACTTCACTAAAAATGGGGTAAGAAACCATTGCTTCAAATTTATACAAATTTATGCTAAACAGCTCTAGTTGCTGAAGCTTCAGAGATGCATGATCACGAAGCTGCGGAAGCTAGACCTATCTGGTACCAGAAAGAAACTGTACTACGATGTACATATATAATAAGTATCTAAGGTCAAAGACTCGTAATACGACGCAACCTTTTTATTTTTTTTTTAAGTTTTTCATTGTATAAAGTGGTAATTAATGTTAGGACTGTGGGAAAGGCCAAATAGATCTCATGCCCTCCGATACCTCCAACCAAACGGATCCGTACTGCGCCGCTAAGAGCCGCGGATTCGAATCGTGCACGGAAATACGTTTGTATGGCATAAAATAATTATTTTAGGCCATACAAACGCATTTCCGTGCTCGAATCAAATTATATTTATAACAAATATTATATTATTTAACAATTATTTTATTTAATAACGCGTGTTATAATATAACAATTATTTTAAGACAATGCCGGTTACGTTTTTAAAATCGGAAGAATTAGATGTATTGGTGGCATATCGTCTTATATATTATGCCAGATGTAAAACCCCTAACGTTTTACGTGGTGGAGCCATGCTGCAGCTATATTATTTTAGCAGCATTATTATTTTTGCAGCTATATTAGTTGTCGCACGAATGGGTCGGCTCGATCGGGGAAGGACCACGCTCTCACAGGATAGGTACCAGCGTAAAATAGCGGCTTGATACAAATATGTTACATATGATAAGTGTAGAGAATCGGAGACCCCTTTTACGGGATACAAGGCATTCCATCTAAATACTCAGGGGTGACAACGCATCTGCAGTTTTATTTTTAATAGAGGATAAATGTAGATGGCTATGGGCCACAGTATTCACTTTCCATCAGATGAAGGCCCATGTCATGAAGTGGAATTGTGGCGAAGACGGGTAATTTCCTACAATGAGAAAGGCCCATGCCTTGCAGTGGACTTGTGGAGAAGAAAAAAGAGATTAACCGTAAACTTTGTTGTGTAAATTAAATGATTTAAATAATCTATGATTTCATATCATTACAGAATGGATTTGCGGAATGGCGGCCGGTATTCATCACGGGCGCATCTTTGTACATCGCTTCTGCAGTTTACTTTATTCTGTTCGGCACTGGCGAGACGCAGTCTTGGAACTACGTAGCGCCGGTGGAGGAAGATGAACAGGACAAAAGACCGAGTGGCAACTCCACTGACACCACTGTCACAATTCCTGTAAAGACGTAAAATAATGAGAGCGAGTTATATAACGTTCGCGATTCAGGAGTCCTTTTCCGTTTACAAACCGCAATAATATTTTAAACAGTTGGTATTTCGCAACTGTTTAGATTCCAACGCGGATTTATTTTAAAATCCTCTGGCCATAAATATAGAAAAAGCTTGTTATTGTATACAATGATTTAAAAAATATATATTTATACAGTAATTGGCACTTGAAGTAACATAATAAAAATAGTGCCAGCCAAAATCTTGCCTATTGTTTTAAACAATGTAGGACAAATATAAAATAATTATTATGGACAGTTTGAATTAACGCGTGTTGTGAGCGTAGCTTTTATTTAAAAATTATAATGATATTGTGTATGTCAGTAGTAGTGATAAAATCACGTAGCCTTATACTATCCTTGTCGTAATGTTAAAAATGGACGAATTGAAAGTATAGTAAATATATTAATGTAAATTAATTAGGTTTAAGTTTACTTTAAGTAAAAATTTGAGTTAATATTCAACGTCAATGACTGTGATGAATTGTGTATATGAGTGAAAATTAATTTACCAATTAAATTATTCAAGCATATCTATTATATTATGTTTGTTTCTGTTGTTATATTAATAGTTAAATTATTATTTAAGTGCTAATTTACCAAGGGTGTGAAGGAAAACATGAGGAAAGATTAAGTATACAAGAAATAAAACTATTTCAGCATACATATATTATGTGTAGGCCGCCAACGTGCACTATTAATGGCGGCGGACTAATAAGCGGAAAAGTAAATGGTCACGTTTTCCATTACTCAAAAAATTGAGAGGAGACCTGCTTCCAGTATTTATTTATTTATACTGAATTGGACACCTTAATAAAAAGGACTACAAAGGGCGGACTTAATACCTTTTGGCATTCTCACACAACCAACCCGGGACGCCTGGAAATAATATGATAGGTGTCAAAAATAAAAAGAACGCTATAGTAAATGAGAAATATAAGTATATATTATAAATGCAAACACATATATAACATAAACTTATAAATAAACATACAACAGAGGTAACCAAATGGTATTTATTCATGCAGCCTACGAAACGTCCACTGCTGAACATAGGTCCACCCTATAGGTTGATTGTTTGCTACAGTTGCCAAGCTTATAATAATAAAAAATCTATTGGTAAATCCAATTCTGCATGCCCTAAGCGCATTAAAAAAATTACGTATAACATGATTATACGGAATTTTTTTAATGTACTTAGTTTAAATACACACAAGTTTTCAGTAATAACCCTATTATACTAATTTTCCAATAATTTTTTGTCAAACTTCAATTTAAAAAAAGTTTTGAAAATCCAAAAGTGCACGACTCATAATGCTCATAATTAAGATCATCATATCATCTTTCAGGTCATTCCATAAAGTCAAAAACGTATTTAATAATTTTGATTTGTCATTGTGTGCGTTAGCTAGTGAAGTACATTTTACTTACAAGAACTATCGAAAAATTATTGTTAAGGGAGCACAAATAAAAAAAAGATTTAAAAAATAGTATGGTGCAGGAACTTGAATAACTTCAAAAAATAACTGGATTTTTACCATGATACTTCTAAAATAATTAAAAAATGTTCATATCACATGTTCCTGGTAATAAGCTGAGCCTACCTGCCTTTTGTTGGATTTTAATTCAAGTGTAAAAAATCCCAGGTGACTCTACCGATAAACTTAAAAAAACTGCCCAAGAATCACATCGGAAAGTTTTATTTTCGAGTTATGATGTTTGGAGAAAAATATTAACTGCCATAGATAGTTCCCCGGAATTTCTTTTTTTAACATATTGTTAATATAAATAGGTAGATACTACCTTAATATAAATAGGTAGAACTAAGTATATACCTATTTATATTTTATAAATAGTTTTGATGGGGAAATAAAAAACGGGGACACAGAGTACATAATAGCTGCTTTATTTTTCATATAAGTATTGCTTTTGATAATTACAAACATTTAATAATGAAATACATTATATAAGTTTATTTTAACATTCGATTTAAATACGAACTAATTTTAGTAAGGATACTTGTAGGAATGAGTTAATAAGATTGTTCTGTTATGAGGCTTAAAAGTATAAAGTAATAATAAACTTATTATCATTTTAGCTACATGAATTAAAAAAAATAACGCCCTTAACAGAGTAAAGTGCACCAGGTGTCTGAGGATACAGATGCACTCTCTATTATCTCAGTATCGGTATGTTATGAAAATGGTCACTCATTCATGTACTGACCGCAGCAAGTGCAACTTAATCTCGCAGATCTATTGATCCGCGCAGCTATAACTTAACCACGAGTTCCTCTTCTCTACGACTAACACTGTAGGCTATGAACCACACTATTTAATCCCACGGCGCAACGTCGTCAGCCTTAAAGCATGAATCGGGAATCGAGCGTTGTATCAAATACTATGGAATTTATACTATCCTAGCACATCGAACCGCGCGTCTCAAGAGTGTGGTGCTTCAAGAGAATTACTAAATATATTATTTCTAACTACGTTAAAAGTTTTATCATTGTGACTTGGGAATATATTCCGAAGCTCCGCACAAACCCTTGGGGAAAATAGCATGATGCAATGAAATATCTCACTAGTGTGACCGTGGGGTACGGGTGAAGAAGTAAGGTTATACATTTTTTGGTTGATAAATAGATAGTTGGGTTCATAATGGCTTAAATAGGATAATTTCAAGATTTTTTATCTTAAATGTACTACAGTTTTATAATGTACCAAAATCTGTCTCTATTTTTATCAAAATTTTTGAAATTTTATTTTTATAACAATATCATACTTACTGGTACCAATAATGTAGAAATGGCTCCTTTTAATGAAATTGTTTTTATTTTAAACGAACGCAAACCGAAGATTTATTTTCTTGTTGTGTGGGCAAGTCTATCGATTCATTATAAGCATCCAACATGGACCTAGAAAAAAAGGCGGACAGAGTCTCGCTAACAAACAATTGAAGCGTCGCAGTGACGGCAGCGTAACTATGTGTGAGCGTGTAGAGGGTTGCAAGATGGAGAAAAATTACCCATTTTTAAACGCAAAATAATTCAATTAGATTTAAGACATTCGTCACCGTCTTCGGAACCAGGACTTTAAGTTTAATAAAACAAAATTGTAATAAAACACATTGAATATAAAAATATTGATTATGAATATTTATTAATATTATAATTAATTTACATTTATTAACGGTTTTTTTAAAGTCCCTTTTGTTGGGTTAATTTTTTATAATATTGTCTTTTACTGTCAAAAGACTTAGAAATCTCCTTCAATTTAGCTATATGGTGAAAACGAATATTCAGATATTTTTCGGCTATATATTCAATGAGAGCTATTTTATGTTTTACTCCAGCAAACGCATGGTCAAGTTTTAAATTTAAAAAAATCCTGTCGTTAGCTATATATTTTTCCAGAATTTTGGTAAGCCTGTACTGATGTTGTCTTTCAGTATATATAGTTATATTATCTCTTAAATGCTTTCGGATCACCATCTCGCAAGTACAACAAAAAGGATGTATTTACTTTCTAAAAGAAAAGCAATACATCCCTTTTATGATGTATTAAAAGAAATACATATCGGTGAAAAACATTGTAGTATAACATATTCAACTAAAAAAGAATCATCGAAAACGTTTCGACATTGTCGGTGTAACTTAGAAAAACAAAAACATTCAGTCGACTTGAAAACCTCCTTTTTTTCAAATCGATTAAAAACTATTCTCCCCTTAACACGTACGTACCCCATGCGAAGCACTGGAAGTATTTGCTTCAACGAGTTGTTACTCCGGAACGCTTGACGCCTCAAATAAAAACTAAAAAATTAATTACGTTTTAATATGTTAAGCTTATAATTGTAAGAGGAAAATAGATATTCATTGTTCTTTATCTTTTTTGGGATGGCGTAAGTAACAACGCGAAGAAGTCCACCTTTTGTTCTCTATAAATCATTCTCCTCGAAATGTTTACTGCAGATTACACTAGATTTAGATGTATTCCAATTGTTTTCATTTCTACAGTCTCTTATTATTTGCACCCAGTCATTCTTCCACACATCATTTGCAGAGGGAAATCTATAAAATGTAAAATTTATAATATTGGTAGTTTAGTATCATGGGACGCCAAAAGTATATACAGAGGTAAATTAATGAATTAAGGAACAATTCAAAGTGAACAAAAAGATATTAATCTCCCATATTTAAGGTAACTTGCAAATTTAATAACTGGCAACACTGATTAGTTTCGTGTTTTGATAATAATTTTTGTTTGTTAATAAAATGTTTTGATAATAAAGTTTGAAATAAATTAAAATAAAAACGAGAAATAAGGTGAATAAATTACTTACTTACCTATGAAAAGTGATACCCTGGCTTTTTTTAATGGAACCACTATGATTTCGACAGGTTTTCATTACAATGTTACGCGGACGCGGTTTGGAGCGTAATGGCGGGCGGTTGACTTACTATGGTGTGCATGTGTGCGTGCGGGCTTGTTTGTATTAGCGAGCTGACTTAGTATGGGTGCGTCAGTAATTGTTTTAAGAGACGGCGTCCGCCCTTTTTTCTAGGTCCATGGCATCCAAGATAAATATCGACATTTTTTGATATAGTTGAGTCAATCCCTAGCGTACATATGAAATTGCGTGCTGAATTGCGCCGACCTGTCATTCAAAATCGGTTACAGAGTCATGAGATTTAGTATCCTTTTCTATCTTGTATTTTTTGCCATAAGGAGTTTTCTTCTCCCTTGCACACTATGTCGGTCTATATGCCAGTATATTCTAAGTCTATGCCATTAGGCTAATGTCGCTACCATAGAATACTATAATATACAATAGAATGGCTGTCAACCTTATTTTGTATGAGAACCGGTGTCGCCGGGAGCACACATACAAGCAGTTACGTCGTATTATCACTACTAGGAACCCAGTTCGCTCATTAGTCATACAAATTTTAATAAGTAAATGTTATAAAGGCATATTTATCTATACAAATAAATAAAATGGAAGTGTCTGTTTGTAATGTTAAAATAACAACTTTTTGAAAGTATAAACGGTACTAATAATAAAAAGACAATTATCAGCATTTTTGTCTGTCTGTCTGTCTATCTGTCTGTCTGTCTGTCTGTTTGTTCCGGCTAATCTCCGAAACGGCTGGACCGATTTTGACGGGACTCACTGGTAAATAGCTGATGTTTTATGGAGTAACGTAGGATACTTTTATTTTAGAAAAGGAATCAGGGTCGGTGCAAAAAAATTAAAACCCTTGAAATCGTAGTAAATTCTATGCGGACGAAGTAGCGAGGGACAGCTAGTATTACATAAAATTAAACTTTATTCCAGGGCAATAACAACGGATTTACCACGAACCTTTACAGACCATCTCCTCCTCCTCTCCAAAGAGATGGTCTGTAAAGGAACTGTGTTGACAGACTGAGCTTTGCATATTTTAGGCTTTTGATCGATGTTAACGAAAATCATCAAAGTCATCAAAAAATAAATCGTTTATATTTTAAATACAATGGTGATAAGTATTATTTTTTTTCTTATTGTAAATAACAAATTGTTGAACACGTATAAGATGCGTAGCATCATATTAATGTGTTTGATTAAGCAATCTGTAGTAGAGGTGAGCGATGCAAACCGTATACTGATACGAAATCTATATATTGGTACAATATCTAAAAACCGCTTACTGGTTCGTTTCAAAATAATGTATTACAAAATCTGCTAATATTTGCGTACCGCCGCGATGCCTATATCGCTTCGCATCGGTCAGTAGCTAGATTCGCCGTGAGCGACGGAGCGCGAGCGTTATAGGTATTAGGTATACTGGTTCGTTCGAAAACTATGTATTACAAATTCTGATATTTGCGTACCGCCGCGATGCCATCGTTTCGCATCGGCCGGTGGCTAGATTCGCCGTGTGCGATAGAGTGCGAGCGATATGGATATTAGATTAGACATGGCGGAAAATTAAAGTCTTACTAAAATCTTATATTTGTACACTACACTAAATAATAAAAAAAATATTTCACTAAATCTTAATTTACTTCTCTAGTAATAATTTTTTCAAGTTTTTATACATAGATTAATGATAAGTCATCGCTATTGTATGCTAGGGCTATGCTCGGGGTTTCTCTGCGTGATAGACTTAGAAATGAGGATATCCGCAGTAGAACCAGAGTAACCAACATAGCCCAACGGATTAGTAAGCTGAAGTGGCAGTAGGCCGGCCATATAGCTCGAAGAACCGACAACCGATGGGGAAGAAAAGTTCTCGAGTGGCAGCCTCGTACCGGTAGGCGAACTGTAGGGCGACCCCCCACTAGTCGATGGATGCAGGTGGCTCAGGACCGTGCTTTGTGGCATTCCTTGGGGGAGGCCTTGGCTGAACATATTCAGCAGCGGACTTGTGAAAGGCTGTAATGATGATGATGATGATGGCTTAGTAGTTAAGTTCATAGT